TCTGAAAGGAGCTGGCAAGGGTCCAGCAGCTGAGCCAGCGGGGGCGCCGAGATCTGCTGACCTGCGAGGCGAGAGAGGGGGGGCGGGCCGTGCACCGGGGGGGCGCGGCGGCGGAGCAGCAGACGCGGCCGGCCGGGTGGGGGCGGGCGCGCGGTGGACCAGGCAAAGCAAAAGGGGGGCTCGACCAGGAAACGGCCAAGAGCCGAAGTGGGAGCTTCAGGCGGCGCCTGGACAAAACCAATGGAAAGCCGGCGATCCGACCTGCCGAGGCAGAGGGGGTGCAGCGGCGGGGCAGGGCGCCCACGCGGTCGGGGAATGGCGGCCAGGGGCGGCCGGAGGAGGCGCGCGGGGGCCGGCGGAGAGCGGCAAAACCAGCCTGCCAATGGCAAGCGCAGCGGCCGCCACCAGGGAGGGGGCAGGGCGCGAGCGGCGAGCCGCCGAGGAGCCGGCGCCGCGGGCCCTGGGTCGCGCGAAGGGACCGACAGCACGGCGCGAGCGCAGCGTCTGGCACCGGCCGAGAGCGCGCGGGGGCGAGTGCGGAAGGGCGCGGGAGGGGGCGCCGAACGGGTGCAGCGACGCGGCAAAATGGGCCGGCAGGCAGGAACAGGGGGGTGGGTGGGGGGGGGGGGGCGAGCTCGAGGGCGGGCAGGCGAGCCGACAGCGGGAGACCGCGGGCCGGGCGCGCGGGGCAGGGGGAACCGAAGGGCCCGGCCGTCCGCTACCGGCCCCGCTGCAAGGGGGGGGGGAGTGGCGATGAACGCCCGCCAGACGACTTGGGCAGCCAGGCTCCAAGCGGGCCATGGAGCGCCTGGCCGAAGAACGACAAGGGAGAGCAGCGCGGAGAAACGCAGAACAAGTCGAGGCAGGCGGATGGCGCCTGACATGTCTCGGCGAGCAGCTACCAGTGACGAGAGTGAGCCCCAAACCACCGCTGGCGCGAGGGATCGTAACTAGGCCAGGAGAAGTCTGCCAGGCGCTTGCCTTTCCCGCGCGCGGGAGGGCCCTTCCCGTCCTCGGAGCCCTGCGCGCTGAGCCTTCTCTTCTCCATTTCCCGCTCCCACTCAACATCCCAGTCGACGTGGATGTCCTTACTCTGGCAGGAGATGCGAACGTCGAAGTTGGCCTGGATGAGGTCCGATACAAAGCTTCGACAAGAGTCGGGGGGATGCCGGACGGGGTCCTTGGAGGAGAAGTGCCCCCACCTTCGGGCGGAAATGGCGTTCCAGCCATTGGTCAAAATGGCGCCACATTCCTTCTTGAGGCGGTTGGCTAACTCCTGCCGAGACTCTTCCTGATTGGTGGTGTAGTCCCAGCCAGGTTGCCACCGCATCTCTCGTCGCGGCTCGAAGTGCAACGGGCCCGCGGCGCCGCGATGGGGGGCGCAATTGCGAGAGGGGGCCGGCGCGCGACAAAGGGGGATCGGCGTGCGCCATGGCGGGGCGCGGTCCACCCACCGCGTCGTTGCCGTGGCCCCTCCGGGGGGTCTTGCGCACAGGTTCATCTCCGTCGCCTCCCGAAGTGCCCCCGTCGGACGGTTCGGCCTGCTGCGCCTGCCCGCGGTCGGGGCGGGGCGCGGGGGGCGTGTCTCTAGGTGGGCGCGGAGAGCTGCTCGGGCTGGGCCGCGCCCCGCCCCGTCGCTGTCTAGGTGTCTAGGTGTCGTCGCTCTAGGTGTCTAGGTGTCGTCGCTGTCTAGGTGTCGTCGCTCCTGAGGGCCCCAGTCGCAGCCGGCTGAGTTGGAGCGAGTGCGCGACGCTGAGGGTGGGCCGGGGGAGATGCTGTCGCGTCGCTCGCAGGTCGCCCCTGGGGGGTCATTGGGCGCTTGAGACATTCGCGCGCGCCCGCCTTCGCTGCCGCCGGGCGACGATCTGGGCCTCCGCGCGGGGGGGGCGGGGTTGCAGTCGAGCTGCGCGTTCGCCTCGCGCTGTCGGGGTCCTGGGGGCAGGGGCAGCCCAAGCTTGCGAATGGGCCGCAGAGCAGGGTCGCTGGGCCCCGCCCTGGGGGTGGGCAGGCGCGGCGCGAGCGGAAGCGCTGCTGCCGGCGGCTGAGGGGGTCAGCTTCCTTCTCGCCGCAGTCGCCCAAACCCGGCGATCTGTGGTTCCTGGCGGCTCCTAATGTTTCTCGAGCTCAAGTAGCCAAGCAATGCATCCTGGCTGTGCCACGCGGGGTCCCGTCCTTCCGTGGCGGCCTGGGGGTCGTGCCTGATGCGGTGCGCGCCCCACTCGCCAGGTCCGATAGGGGCCGCGGGAGGAGTCGCGGCGGCTTCGACGATGTAGGTGGCGCACCAGTAGTGCCCGAGAGGCGCGTGTACCGCCCCCGTTGACACCTGGCGGGGAGTCCTGACGGAGGGATGGAGCCGCCGTAGATGGTGGCGAGGAATTCCTGGCAGCGCGCCGCGGGCCAGGCCCTGGGGTCGGCAGGCGCTCCCAATCGGTTTCCTGACATACGGAGGGAGGGGGCCCTGTGCTCCGACGCTCAGTTCCTTCAGCGTTCGTCGATCATGGGGGGGGGTGCGGGGCGGGCAAATCCAACCACGATGCGCGCGATGGCGTTGTCTGCCCTTCCGGCCGAAGGTCCAGGTTCGAGGCGCCCATCGGCCTCCAGCGACGCGATGCCCCTCACCTCTGGGGGGCAGGTCGGTGGATCGATATCGGGGAGGTCGTCCAGAAGGCTGGCGGGGGTCCGCGGGGGCGGCGTCGGTGGCCTGTCCAGCATCTCGCCACCCGCCCTCCAGGTCGAGGCGTGGCGGCTGGGCGTGAACTGCGGGGGCGCAGGGGGGATGTGGTTGCCTGAACGACGATGCTCAGGCGACGGGCTGCACCGATGGTTTGGTGGAGTTGAGGAGGACCTCGTCGGGTCGCCGCGCGCCAGCTAGTCCAGATCTGGACCCGGGAATCCCCCGTGGCTTGGAGGGCTTCAGTCCAGAAGATGCCGATGGTGGCCAGCCTGTCGCTGGCCGTGTTCAAGCGGCGCCGCGCCGCTTGCCAGCCCAGGGGCCAGCCCCTCTGGCCGGGGGGCTCGAGCCCCATATCCATCTGAACGGCCAGGTGGGGCCTCTGGAATCTGGCCGCGCCAGCGCCATGCCGAATGGCCGCGAGGTTGTCGCCCACAACCCTCGCCGACCACACGGGTGGGCTAGTTGTGGCTGGGGCGTTAGATCCTGGCCTACATCCCGCGGCTTCAGCGGTCTGGGCGTTGTCGGTGCCAGGTAGGGCTACGATGCGCGATGCAAGGCGTGCCGGCGGCCCTCCGTCTTCGGAGTGCTGCCGCAAGGTTAGGACGAGAAAAAACCGATTGGCACAACGTGCGATTGATACGTTCCGGGGAGTCCGGGATTTCAAACAACCTTCGCGTGGGATACACTTTGCGTCGAGTATTGTGTACTCTGGCTGGCACCGCTGGTCGGTCACCCATTCGCAATCAAGTGGTCGCCCGCAGGTAGCTATTTGGCACTTGCTGACCCCCCTTCTCGCTGCCGAGCGCAAGGGGGGGGGGGACGGTGGCGCACGGCTTCATCGCCCGCCGCCGCGCACCGCGCGCCTCGGCAGATTTCCAAAGACCTAGCAAGGCAAATCACGCGGGACTCTGGGAAATTTATCAGGGGTAAATTGGGGGAACAAATCTGGTAACGTTTTTGAAAATGTCCGGCCTCCTCCATCATACCAAAATCGATTTTGAAAAATTTCGGGATCCGGAATCAATTTTGGAAAATTCTGGGGTTCAGAATCATTATGATGTCCTGCGCGGCGGGCGCATTCCACCCCTTTCACAACTGTTGCTTGCATTTTTCTGGGTTTCTTTGAAACATTCCGGAACTGCTTGCACCAAGAACAACGGAAACGTTTTCTGAAATTTTCAATGATCCAGAAATAATTTCCGGGCGGTCCGACGGGCGCGGCCGGCTGATTCACGCACCGCGCCGTGCGCGATTGGGCGCAGCGCGCGCCGAGCGTTGCGCCCGTGAACAGAACTAGAAGGGGTCACCTCGAAAACAGCGCCACGGCAGCTGCGACTCGCGGGCTCCCTACCAGCAACGCAGCATGCAGCTTAGAATCTCCGAGGGCGCTCCGATGCGCGAAAATGCACCGCGCACATCACGCAAATAATCTGCGCGACGGAATGCGCTCGACCATTCGTCCCTGGAGCCCGCGCGGAAGAACAGGAAAACCTGGAAACCTGGAAAACTATCAATATCAATAATTCATACTCCTCTGAAGGGCGGCCCCTGCCCCCGCAGCCCTGCTGCGCCCCAACATTCTAGCGCCCCCGTCAACGGTGACCTCAAGAGGCCATTGCGCTCGATCCTGGACAGGAAAAGAGGAGCGGGGGACAGTTGCATCAGTCAGCGCTTCGATGGGGGTGCTGGACCAAAGGGTTTGCCGATGTTAACGGCAAGTCCGGCAACACTGGTATTCCCACCGCGCGTTTGGGTGGTCGTCAGTTGGCCGGGGACATGGGACCAATCCCCGCCCCCACACACGCACACACAAACACACACACGCACACGCGCTTACACACACGCACACACACGCGAGCTACCCGTAACTATGATGTGAGAACCACGTACACCTCTTGCCCATTCCCCCTGGCGCTCTTCATTGTCATGGGGCGCATGTGTGGTGAGCCACCGTTGCGGAGAACATATCTTACGATGCTGGGGCGTGTATACCGAGCATGCAAACTCGTGTACAGGATGCTGCCACATTAGTTTCATGAGCTCCCGATCCACATAAACCTACGCCTTCGGCCGACCGCGAAACTCAGGGAATACGGCCCCAACCAGAAGGTTGCAAATAAACGCGTCAATGGCCGACTGCGATACCCGGGTCGCCAAGCGCGCAAGGCACCAGAGGACGCCAAACATAAGGCACCAACCAGAGGGCATCAACGTGCAGGGCACCAGCCATGGGGCACCAATCGTGCCAACGGCCGATAGGATCAACGTCTCGCGGCGTGCAGCTTTGCTGTGCAAATGCAGTGCAGCCTATGGTACAGACGTGCGG